CCCTGAACTTTATCATAATTTGATGTTCTGCAGTTGTTAAGTTTGATATCTTAGCTCGTCGCGTATCAAACATAGAATAATAGAGACTCTACTCTAGGATCTAGATCTAGACATCTATCTAGAACTAGATTCTAGATCTAGATCTAGACTTTAGATCTAGAATCTAGATATCTAGGCTCAGACAAGGGGGTTGGTTGGAACTACGGAAAAGGGAGTGTATACAGACCCGGTAACCGGGAACAAAGTCACAAAGTATACAGACCCGGTAGGGTAACTCTTTCGTGATTTCGGAAAGTTTCAGCGCCCTCTTGGCTAAGGGTAGAACTAGGTTCTTCTAGATTTATGGCCTAGACAGACAGATAAATCATTGATCTAGTTTCGAGGCTAGCCTAGATCTAGATCTAAATCTAAATGAAGATTGCGGATGTATTTTCGATGAACGATCGTTTTTCCTCCTGAAAAATCTAGAGAACAACAAACAATAACAAAAATACACACGAAGAATGCACTCTCCGACTCTTACTCTTGGGCCTAAACTCTAACAAGATCTATAATATAGATTAGTCTGGCTTAGATATAGAGATCTAGATTCTTCTAGATCTAAACTTCACCTTCTCTTCGTCTCTTCCAACAATAATAAATATAGATTCTAAATATAAACAAAAGAACTCTCACATCAACAGCTCTAGTCTACAGTCTACGTCTCACTCACTGTTTTCAACAGATGGCACACTGTCATGCTGTCGGCCCGACTGGGAACTGGGAAGACTGAAGACAGACAAGCAATAGGCCTACCTCTTTGCAAGAAGAGTGGAGATTTGAGATCTAGTATTCGTACTCGGACCAAGCAAAAGACGAATACGATCGAGTTTAAAATCCATGAGTTCGATTATCTAAGATATGCTCGGCTAACTATAATATTTGGACTCGAGTCCGAGTAAGAAACACTCGAGTACTCGAATCCCCAACACAGGCAGGGTGTGTTTATTGTTGTTCAAGGAGTTTAGAACTAATGGAGCCTCCTCTCTCTATTCGCGGCGCCACGAGCAGTACGCCGCGGTAGGGATCAAATATGGCCGCCGAGTGTGGGCTAAATCTCGAACTGTGGCGTTTCTTTTTTTAATGCGGACGATGACCGTGTACATTGCCTACTGAGCTCCATTTGAACGATTCGAAAATAGAAGCACAAGGCGATATTGGTACCCAAGGATGGGTACCCACCATCGCTTAGAAGCGCAGCGAATTAAAATTTTATTTTTTTTACGTTGGCATCCCAGGCGTACTTAGCTCCCTTTGACAATGTGACATTCGAAGCGTGGATACCAATCACCGCTTAGAAGCGTAGGGAATAGTTTTTTGTATGCTGGCATTCTTAGCTCCCTTGGCACGATCCAACATTCGAAGCATTTAATATGACCTTATGCAGTTGCGAGCGCCGTAAAACCCTCTACTAAAAAAACAAAACAAGAAGCATTTAAGGATATATTATGTCTACCCACCACCGCTTTGAAGCGCAGTGGTGATATGGGTACCCACTGCTACTTCGAAGGGCAGCGAGTCATGTGGTTTGTTGATTTTTTAAATATTTTTTTTTTGTAGACTGCCAGACTTATACTTAGCTCCCCTTGGCATTCGAAGCACAATGTTATAAATGTTGTGATGTGATGTCATCGCATTGCGGTGTGTCGTGCGTGATGAAAGCCTGTCGTGTTTTGCCACCAAAAAAAAAAGCCAGCCAGCACAATATTATACTAGTGAGGAGACCCAAAAGGTTATGCAAGTTGTGGGTAGGCCAAGGAGGGCGGATGGCAGGCGGGGACTAACGAAATGAGAGTTTAAAAGTTTTATAAGTCGTGCTGGCAAGGCTAAAAATACGCGCTACCCACCTTACTGTTACACTCATTTTGCCCTTTGTCTAAATCCTTATTCTATTGTCTGTGCTCTCTCTTACATTATGGCTGGCTGCATTGCAGATTGTTGGAGTGCATTCTGTAGTGTTCCCTTGCTTTTGTCCATTTTAGGCCGGTTCTTTGATCGTTGACTGGTGTGTAATTTCAGAGATTGCATTATCCTTCAGATTGGAAATTTGCATTCCGTTTTTGTGTTGTTTGTTCAAAATGACGTGCATAATGTGTATTGTTATTATTAGGCCTATTATGCCGCCAACAGAATTCTCTTGAACTTTTAAAATCATTTACTGCTTGAAGTCTTAGCTTATAATATGTAAATCTGTGCAAACGCACGGGAAGTATTGTTTGGCAGTTATCTGAGAAGAACGAAATAAAGTTACTAATACAAGTACCCCCAAAGCAATACAATGTACAATCAGAGAGTTTACAGGTACAATCTAGCAAACAGCAGTGTAGTGCGACGCAGCGACAGTGCGCATGTGTGTTAGATCTATCGCTCTGTAAAAAGTTTTTCTCTTGTCCAAGTTCCCCGCCCCACTCCCCTATTTTTTTTTCAAGCAGACTTAGACACGATTGGTCGCCTGTTTTTATTATTCCCCCTCTCCCCTCCCACTCTGCAACTGTCGCTTTTTTTGTGTTATTTATTATTATATTACCTGAATTACCTGTCCTGGGCAACAACGTCATTGCACACCGTACAGGTCCTTAAGTGCTCAGTTCCTCCCAGCTCGAAAGTCCGCAAGGTATCCATACTGATTGTTCCTGTGGTTGTCTGATTATGGCGACGTCTTTCCTTTCCAGATAACCGTTCCTTTCTTCCTTCTCCCCTCTCTATCCCAATTTCCCGCATCCTGATGATTGCGTGGTGTTCTGCTGTCTCACTGTCTTCCTCATCCCGCATATTTTCCTCCATGGTCTTCAACACTTCTCCTTTGTCAAATTTCACCTCACCATCGACCACGGCACTGCTTGCCGGCCTATCAGCCTCCTCATTGCCCTTCACTCCAGAGTGCCCAGGACAGAATATCCACGAGATGGCTCTAAGTGATAAGTGTTGTATTGGGTTCATCTATTCACTGCGAAGCAGCCCTTTCTCAACCCTTCGCAGGATGCTCTGGGAATCCGTGACAATGATGAGATGAGTAGTTCTTGGTCTTGTATTTTGAAGCCAGCCAAGGGCTCTTGTTACGGCCTCGATCTCCATTTTCATGCTTGAAGTTGTTCTTTCTGTGGCCCTTGACATACTATGAACCTGTTGTTCTTGCTGTACACCACAAAGCCCCACCCACTTTCCTCACCCCTCCTGACCGATCCATTCGTGTAGATCACTGGGTCCTCTCGCTTAGAGTGCTCCTCAGTAAACTGTCGTATGTCATTGTCGTTAAGGACAGCAGCACATTCCCGTCTTTCACGACCCATAGTGATGTGAACGTTGGCCAGGCTTCTGCAATCGGGGCTTAATAGTTCAAACCATTCCTTTCCACAGCATATTTTATCGATGCCACAAAATTTCCTCAAGGAGTCATCAGCTTCTGCCACCCATGAGCTGCCCCAAGGAGTCTTCAGCTTCTGCCATCCATGAGCTTGATCCTGTTTCCTTTGATGTTACTTAAGTTGTCATACAAAGGGTGCCTCGGGTCTCCCAAAACATTCAAGTACAGCTTTGCCCGTGCCACCTTCATGCCTCACTCTGATGCTGGCAAGGTCCAGGATGTATCTCATACAGACAACATGGATGTCCTTTGGGCAACCCAGAACGGCCCTCATAGCTACATTCTGTACACTCTCCACCCTGTCTATATGAGTCTTGGATAGGGAGATGATGCCCAGACCTTAGTCTATGACTGACAGAACAACCAGCTGTATTAGGAGAAAAAGAACTCTCTGTTGAATTCCCCGCTGAAGCCAAGGGTCTTCACTACATTGATGCCTTTCTGAGCCCTGACGGCAACATTGTCAATATGTCTTCGGAAATAAAATATCCTGTCCAGAGTGATTCCCAGGTACTTCAACTCATGCTGTCTGTCTATAAGAAAGTGGTTAAGCAGAATTGGATGTCTAGGATCTTTCACAATACGGTTGTTGAGTGAACATCAGATGACCTGTGCTTTGTCAGGATTGATGACCGCATTGTATTCCTCACACCAATCTGCGACCTTGCTCAGCCTGACCTTTAGCATCTGTCCAACCGCTAGCCTATCATGACCTGTTCGTAGACCATAACATCATCTGCAAAGGTTAGGAATCTTCCTGCTCCACTTACACCGATCCTGACAATTTTGGATGTATATATGTTAAACAGGACCGGTGATAAGGCTGATCCATGTGGCAGTCCTGAGGCAATCACTACTGGGTCAGACATTCACCGTCCATTTCTCAGTGCCACCTTCCTCTCAAACAGAGCTCCGGAGATCCATTGTACCAACCAGGGATCAACATTCATTTCCATCAGAAGATCCATGAGCTTGCCGCAATCAACTCGGTTGTAAGCATCCTCTAGGTCTATGGCAGCCATTACTGTCTCCTCCTTTCTCAGGAGCCTTCAAATACTCCAAAGGCTAGCACAGCCGTCTTTGTGCAGGTGTCTTTCCCTGGTCTGTAGCTTCCAAGGCCGTCTGGAAGGAGCTTTTTCCTCTCTAGTTAATTTACCAGCCTTTTGGCCACAATCTTTTCCTGGATCTTTCCATACGTGTTCTGCATGGTGATGATTCTGTATCCCTTGATGTTGGAGTGGCCTTTGCCTGGTTTAGGAAGAGGCATGAGGTAGCTGTGTAGCCACTCCTCTGGGATTTTGCCTTTGGCCAGACTCTTGTTGAAGTCCCCCACCATGCCCTGTAGATCTTCTTCATCTGTCTGTGTCTTACCCCCATCACGCCGTGCTGCTCTATCCTTCGTTCCGCAAATTACCTGCTTCATTTCCTGTAATGTGACACCCTATCCATACAGCACCGCTGGAACAGCAGTTTTCATAATTGCCCGGATGTTAGCACGCTCCTCCATGTTGTTTGATGTACCTCTCAAGGAAAGCCCGGCCTTTTGCTTCATCTGTCTCCAGTAGCCTATCGTTCTCATCTTTAACAGACAGAGAGCCAACGTCAGTCTTTTATCCTTTCATTTTTCTGTCCAATTTCCAGAACCTGTGTAGTGCCTTCTCTGATGACACCTCGGTCACGTACTGCTCCCACCGTTCCTGTCTGGCCTCATTTGCACTTTCCCTGAAAAGCCGCCCGTCTCTTTTCATCCGCTCTCTGAGAGTATTCTTCTCCTCATCTGATACCTTGTCTGACTTCCTTGCCCTATGCCATGCTCTTGTTGACCTTCTTTTCTGTAGCCACAGCTCTTTAAGCACAGGATTCCAATAAGGCGGCTGAACAAAGCTGGATTTAGTTGCGTGTGATGCCAAAGCATTTCTCCTTATTTTTTTCCGCACAGTAGAGCCAATGTCCTTTCCATATCTGAATTTTTTTTTCATCTTGCGTTTTTCATCATTCCCCTCATGGCAATTGATCATTACGGAACAAGGCAAATGATCGCTTCCTTGGTCAGACAGAGCCTGCCATTTGGCAAGGACCTCCGAACCTGCTGTAATCAATGCCAAATCTATGTTGGAATCATCCTCTCCATTGTGCTGTCGATCCTTGTCATGTGTGTTCCGTTGAGGATGGAAAAACTGCTCTCTATCATCGCCTTCTCCAGAGCCCTTTCATTGAATGTTATAGTGTACATTTCCCTCTGTCACACTCCTGCCCCCACGATCATCACCCTTTCACTCAGTTTGCCGAGCTCCTCCAGGAAGTCCCACTCTTCCTCTATCTTGACACTGTTATTGCCCACATAGATGTTGACAAGCGTCCATTTCCTCTTCCTCACCCCACACTCCATAATTTGGACTTCCCTGTCTTCCCTGTTGAATCGCTTAGCATCAATCAGTCTGTGTTTAAGACCCTGTTTGACTAATATTAGTTGTACATGATGGGTCTCACTACATGGATTCGTGTAGGTCTTGTAGCCAGGGTATTTGAAATTTTCTACGTTCGTCTCCCGAAGCATCATAATATCCGTTTCATAGATTAAGCTTTTCCATGTCTCGACTTCTTTGCCTGACACTGCTGCAATTCCAGTACATGTAGCATATGTCTAGGTTTTTATTTCTAAGCCTGTCTGATTTTATCCAACTTTTCCTCATCCCGGAACGTTTCTTTCTACAGCCGCCACTCCTTCCCCTTTTTATTGGCACCTTTTAAGGCGATAATGTTGGGAGCGTCGTCAAGGGAGCACGATCTCTGTAGCTCCCGCGCCGTTTCCCTTAAAAAAAATATAATCTAGATACGTGATGCGTTTTATAACTTGGGGATGTATTCTGTCACCCTGGCAGAGCCCCATACCAGGGAAGCGGACATAAGGCCGCCAAATAACCACGAAAGTGACTGACTAACCCGCAGCCACACATCCCGTGGGCACGTTGGTACACCTTGGTCTTTGGAATTGTTTGTCGAGGTTGTCTCCTCTAGATCCGTTGTGGTCTGTTCCTGAACCGCAAGGTTTAGGCTAACAATGTCACTTCTGGAAGGATGTGGCTCTTCGCTCACGCACAACGATCTTGAGATAGTGAGAGGTTGGCCGGGTACATGGACGGACAGCTCGAGATGCATGCCACGTTCAGTGAAAGAATCCAGTTACACCCAGGGGTGCCGAAGGGGGAAAACTCGGTGTCTCCACAGTGTCTCCGCTTCCCAAGAACGTTAACATCATTACCCCCAGGGCTCCCGCCCTTGACACCAAAATTTATTTATTTTTAAAGAACAAAAACAAAACAAAACAACACCCCCCCCCCCCCCATTGTGTTTCATCACCACTCGCGCTGCGCAAGAAGTGGGTAGACACACAACACACTGAGCTGAGAACCACTGGATGAATAGTGCTGTGACTGTGAATAGTGAATATTCAATAAAGAAAGCTGCTGATAGTAGTGATAGACTCACCGTATTAGGCCTCGCCTTAGGCCTACATGTACAGATATAAAAAAGAAAAAACTCTTCGCACACGGTATTCGAATAGCATGAATAGTGACATCACACTTCGAAGCTTCGATGATAAAAAAAAACAACTCAAATCACACAGCAATAGCATGAACTATGATATTGGCGCTCATATGACCTTACAGTTGCGAGCGCCGTAAAACCTCTACTAAAACAAAACAAAACAAAAAACTATAATAAACTAGATTCTTACCATATCCACTCCTTTTTTCTTTCCCTTCAAACATTAGCAAAAATATGTAAACACATGTGTTGCAAAGTAGTCTAGCAGATTTAAGAAATCGCAAGGAAATAAAAGCAAAAGAAACACAATGAAATGCAGTTGATAGAGAAAATCATCGTATCCAAAATACTCAAAAGTGAGTCTACAAAAGATGTCAAAAGAGAGATTACTTGATTACTTGATCCTGGGAACAACATCATAGCACTCTGGGCATTGCCATACGTGCTCGGTTCCCAGCTCCAATATCCACCTCAGAGTTCATCTGGGGCTGTACGAAACCCAAAAGCGCAGTGAAAGCAAGGGTCGCTCTCTTCCAAGAACCACACACCCGGTTAAGGTGCCAAACACTGATGCTCATGAGACACCATAAACGGTGTTGGTTGATATAGGCAGCAGGACTCTTCAAAGTTCTTTTCAACTTTCTCTCATGGTACTTGTCCGCTATCGGACTCGTGCCAGAATATAGCCTCAGATGGACTTTACCACCCACTTTGGGCTGCATTCCCAAACAACTCGACTCCTGAGACGTTCGCGGCCTCGCAGGGAAGCACCAGCAAGGCCTTTTACTACACCTGCTCTGAGTGAAGCCTCGATCTGGAGGACTTCGGTGCTCGCACGCGCGACTGATGACGTCCCACACGCCACAGAGAGAGAGAGAGAGAGAGAGAGAGAGAGAGA